ATATATATATATATATATACATTGTATATTATGAACGGTGTTGTCTTTATAATTTAAAAAGTGTACGATATTAGCTAAGCAATAAGTAGGATTTCTCTTCGTTCCTTGGGCCTGGTGTGGCTTAGTCGTTACTCCATTTTATGAAAAACTTTATTGACTGATTTATTAATTGTTTGTTTTGTGCGTTTCCTTTTAGGACTTCTTCGTTGATACTAGCAAATCTTCAGTGGTTAAGATGGCAAGGCTAACGTTGAATATGTTTTCAATGGAAGAATATGTACAAGAAGAAGAAGTACATTCGCATCGTGTAACTTCTCGTTGGTTGTGTTATAATAAAACTTCTTCTACCAATTGCCGATTCGCAATGTGGTACTAAACTTTGCAGATGTTAGGTAATAATTAGTTTATAGCAGTATTTCTGATAACACATTCTAAATGAGTTCTGTGTTTATATCAAGAAAAGGAACTCTAAGGGAAACCATATTCTTACGTTCATTAGCTGCTGTTTTAGGTTTAACTGATGACAAAAACAATTAATAGCCAGTCTACATCGATCATCTAATTTAAAGACACTTGTAGTTATGTTAGATTGAATAAAGGTGCATTTATTATTCGATAGACAAAGAAATTGATTCAGAAAATGATTTTGTTATATTCTGCTTTGAAAATTACATTCTAACATATTTACATAACCCTTGAGAATTGTTTTGTTTTGAATTTCGCGCAAAGCTACACGAGGGCTATCTGTGCTAGCCGCCCCTAATTTAGCAGTGTAAGACTAGAGGGAAGGCAGCTAGTCATCACCACCCACCGCCAACTCTTGGGCTACTCTTTTACCAACGAATAGTGGGATTGAGCGTCACATTATAACGCCCCCACGGCTGAAAGGGCGAGCATGTTTGGTGGGACTGGGATTCGAACCTGCGACCCGCAGACTGCGAGTCGAGCTCCTTAACCACCTGGCCATGCCAGGCCACCCTTGAGAAGAAATGTTTACTACAACGCATCCAATTTACTTGGACAGAATAATTTATTTTCAGCGAAAATGTTGAAAAACTATTCTGAATTCTTAGAATTCTCTCAAAGACTATATCAGTTAATCCCTAGCTCTTATTCAAGACCCAATTTTCCGAAAAGAATCCCATTTTATCATACTTTATTGTACTTATTTTCGACAGAATACAGTTGTAACAAAGCGATACAAGACGTGTTGTTTAGTGCTGCAGATACTGATAAAAATAGAAACTATTCATAACGCTTGTTTGAAATGATAATCAGCTAACTGTGTAGTCTTCGTTTAGGTTTTTCTCCCCTAGATCATCCTATTTTGTGACATTTCTATGGATCATTGTGACATTTTCTCTATTACCAACACCCCTTGTCCAGTTATATCTCAAATTTTATATTATATACCTATAGTATTATTACAGTTCATTTACTCCTTACATTTCTAGTAAACATCGAGTATTTTTATGTGAGATATATATTCTGAATCTTGAAACTTATTTGAATTAAAAGTAAAAATAAACCGTCCGAATAAATATAAAAATACATTTCATAGATACAATATAATATTTGTTCCAATGGGCAATAGAGGGCGGTATTGGTGAAGGCCACAATTCTAACTTCCAGATTGTCTCGATTTTATTAAACAGAAAGGAGAACTGAAAGCAGTGAGAATGGTTATACGTGAAATCATCCGTTATGAATTAGAAATCAACGTTTTTCTAATATTAAATTAAATCAAGTTACTTTAAGCAAAAGGAGAAGACGTATAGTGTGTCTGCAAAAGCTATTAAAGCTCAGCAAAGCACGTGATTAATAATGCGACGTGATTACTCACACTTACGCAATAACTGAGTCATTTATCATGATGACACTGAACTCACGCGATAAGCTCAACAACGTTTCGCTATTCTTATGCAACACATACAACAATCCAGTTACTAAATGTTGCATCACAGTTGGAAAGTAAAGGGTCATCTCTTTAATTTTTAATTCATAGTTCGAAAATTATAATATTGGAACACAATAATAATAGTAATCATTTTCTATAACTTTTGCAGCCTATTTTTTTATTATCGTTTTGTTATTATATATATTTTCACGTGATGTTGTATGTTGCATGACGATGACTAAAGCATGAGTAATCTCTTGATTTATTGTGTAACGTTTTCAAATACTGACTCATAGAAATGTTGCAGGCTAGTAACACTACATGTTGCATCACCTGGATTCAAGCAAGAAGTTAACTCAGTGTCACGCGATCGTTGGGCCCAGTCATGCAAACTTACACAATATTGGGCAATTCTAAATCCGACCAGTATAAATACCAGACACTGTTTTATGTATCATTACTATTCAAACCCAAATTTTCGAGTGCATGCCGATTTTCTCGTCACTAAAACTATTTTAAAATGAGGGAACGTACTACTCATCGTGGCTGTGGACGTAGATTTGGATGGTCCGGACGAGGTCGACATTCAGATCATCACCTTTGGAAAAAAGCGATTAAATGCCATAGATATTGTTCGGGGCCAACAAATGATTCTTGTAAACATGAAAAGCGGTCTAGGAGTAATTCCTCTGTACATCACTGTGGAGAGGGAATCACTCATCACAGTCCATCCCCAACGCAACGCTTTTCTGGATGGCACAAGCGTTCGAAATGTTGCTATTCTGGACCGCATCCTACCTTGGAACGACCCATTGGATCTGGTCACTGTCCACTACAGTTCTCACACAATGGTGCTCAACAAGAAACTGAGGCAATCCAGGAAAAAGCAACACAAACTGAAGAAGCCACCGGAAATAATCCTTGAATGATTTACCTTACCTGGATTATATGGCTATTTACCAAAATATATGGTATGAAAATCTGAACTCCAATTAATGTATGTAAAACATGATATTGACTTACCTGTCGAAAATATGAAGTCAAGAATGTTATTTTGTGTTAATATGATGATGTCATAGAACTTTCATTCAAAAAGAATGCTAGCTTTTGACCTATCATTCCGACCTTTTCTATGTTATAATAATAATACCAAATTACTGGAAAAAATTATAGTTATATTTAATAATTATTAGTCTGTGAATTCATAGTCTCCGAAAAAACGAAACAAAGATAGAGTAGTTTTTTAGAAAAATATACTCAAACTTGTTCAAGGTGTGAGAAGGGTTAAATTTCTGAAACATTTAATGTCAATACTCAGTATGTCTTCAAGGCAAGTATATCAACACACAACGCATTCCCCGTCCCATTTCCCAGTGAATCCGTTCTATAGTTGGACAGAAGAATGACTACTGTAAAAACTATATTATGGTACTATGTTTAATAGTGATGCAAAATATTTTACGCTGACACTGGTCATAAAGACTGAATTTCACCCATGGATGAGAGGTTATTCACATTCGTTTGAGGCTAAAGGTTTAAAAGCCTTCACCAAAATAAGTTTCTTCGATATTTTTATGTGACTCGTATTTCATCGTAACTTGTCTTATTATTAAGATCTTTATATTTAAGCTTGTTTGTTTGTTTGTTATGAATTTCGCGCAAAGCTACACGAGGACTATCTGCGCTAGCCGTCCCTAATTTAGCAGTGTAAGACTAGGGGGAAGGCAGCTAGTCATCACCACCCACCGCCAACTCTTGGGCTACTCTTTTACCAACGAATAGTGGGATTGACCGTCACATTATAACGCCCCCACGGCTGAAAGGGTGAGCATGTTTGGTGTGACGGGGATTCGAACCTGCGACTTGCAGATTGCGAGTCGAGCGCCCTAACTACCTGGCCATGCCGGGCCTTTATACTTACGTACGCGATTTTAGAACCAGTCTGTGTCATATGCAACAGGCGATATTTTACCTACTGTTACAGTTTTTCAAACATAGTTTCTTGACATGGATTGGAATACTACTATCTATGTATGGTACTGCTGTAATTCTTGGATTTTGAACAGCTTTAATGTTATACGATATCAAGAACCAACAACAGTTCATCTAAATACAATATTCTGCACTTCCAGGTATCTTCACCACAAGTTTATATTCTCCTAATAACCTGGACTACAAGATTCGGCACTTCCATTTATCGGAGTCATAAGATTATGTACTTCCAATCTTCTGAACCACAAGTTCTGCACTTCCAGTTACCAGAACCACAAGATTCTGCACTTCTATTTATCGGAGTCATAAAATTATGTGCTTCGAACCTTCTGAACCATAAGATTCTGTACTTCCAGTAACTGAATTGCGTCAATTCTATTATCCAGCTTTTTACGAAATATATTTCCTGTAGTTACCGAATATTAATGAATAAAGTTTTTGAATTAATGTATGTTTAGATATTTCATATAATAAAGATTAATAAAAAAAATATTGTTTTGAGTCACTGAATGTAATTCGGTGGCTCAATGGTAAGCTTAGGGGCTTATAACTTTAAATTTCAGACTCGGTCCCTGCCATAGGCACTGCATAAACAGTCTATTAAGCAGCTTTGTGCTTATATACAAATACATGAATCACTAAATTTTGGGAGGAAAACACAAATATACCATTACACAATTCTCTAAATCGTTATTTTGTAAGTAGTGATTGAAGTGTGTAAAACAAATCTCATATTATTAGATTAAAACAGCATCCATTCTATACTCAATGTGTCCTGGAGGTTGTTTTTCTTATGTTTTGTTTTGTTTTTTTGGCGTGCAACACACACTACCGTGTGTCTTGATACTAGTAAGTAGGGTAGGGCAATTAGTTCAGCCGTACAGAGAATAACATTTTAATCATTAGCGCCAAGTTAGCGAAAACATGGAGGGGGTATTTTACCCGGTAATATTAATTCTAGGGTATATTCCCCCAAAAATAAATCCTACATGCAATATGTTACGGTACTGATAATATAAATAGCTGTCGTATCATTGCGATCCCAACAACTTTCGCTAATTAGTGTGGTAGTAACGTATGTACAGTAGTCATATGATTAGAATGTTAGCATGATTTGTGAAAAACCACAGCAAATGGAACAAACAGTCAGTAATCTTGAGACTAAAGAAAGTAGTTTCGAAACATCCGTGCGTCCTCTTCAATCTCACGTCGTCATCTGGCAGGAAACTGGTCAACAACACCTACGTGATCTTGAGACTTCGATATTTTAGGAGTTAAAGAAGCTGTTTAGCTCAAGGTGACCTTGGGAGGTGTTGACATTATGCAGACTTTTATTTGTGGAACTTTTCAACAATTAATCTTTTTTAATCCAATCATCTGTCGTATGTAAAATTCTTATTGACTTCCAATCGATTTGATTGCCAGAATCTTCCATAAGAAGAAAAATTGCGTTATTTGTATTTCTATATTTAATGTTTTTTTGTGTGTTTTTTTCGTGTCAATATTTCTTCCGGTTTCACCTATAAAACCTTTCTCAACTGATTGGCATGGTGTAATATAAACCTATTGTTTTTTTATCTCTAGATGTTGGAGTTTCAGTTAGGTTATTTTAACGATGTTCGCATACTTGTCAACGTAACATGAATGGTGATGTAGATTATACTTGTGCTGACCTTTATTATTTGGATATGTTAATCTAGTTTTTAAGATAGGCATAATAAGGAAGGGTGTGAACTCATTTTTACATATATACATATTTCTTCGTTTTTTTTCAATTTGGTAATTTTTTATATGGATAAAGAAAGACTCGCCGTTTATTGTACCCCCAAAGTTCTTGACAAGTTGGCACCTATGAATTCATGATACTACAATGAAGTATTTAAATATGTCAACATCTTTGCAAAAGCTATCCACACTCGAAATGCTAATACATAAGAAACAGCTACTGCGAAGAAATAATTCATGAAAACAAGTCAAGTCAAATTACACGTACCACAAAGTTGGGGTATTAGATACAATGTGGCCAGAACTAACATCATATATTAAGTATTGCTGATTACAGAAGAACAAAGTCTGCTAGTTTATACATGTACATACACATTGTTACGACAGCGTAAGTCACGTGACGCTAGTAACACGTCATGAGATTCTAGAAGGATCTTGTCTGTTCGTGGCAACTCTAGTCTTCTCTATGCGCCCTCTATTTATGTATATATAAGACCGACAATCAATCGGAACGGGAAATAGCAGACAGAGAGATTGAAGATATAGGCGAGCAATTGAGTCAAGCGCGGTAGTAAGTAAAGTGCGTGAATCGTTCGTTGAGAATTATAGCGTGTGTTTAAGTTAAAATGACTGTGGAAATTAAGTGTATTGCAAAGTTGTATTGAGAAAGAATAAACTAGTTTTATTTAAGAAAGGACTTGTATCACTGAAGTTCTTCGGAAAGAATTTTTACGGGTAATTCACTCTAGAGACAGCGCGTTATAACTGGTAATATACAGGGGCAGCCGTTTTAACAAAGGAGGCTGTCTTACCTGTTCTATGTGTCACTAAAAAAGTGCTTTGCTGTATTTGTTATCTTGGGTGTTTACAAATATTTTAAAATATATCCTGTTTTATTATATACATTATTTTTATTTAAAAACATTAATTGTACGAAGGCCTTTTTTAGGTGTTGAAAGAATGTGCATTATATACGACAATGGCATGTGACAACGTGGGTACTAGTGTGGGACAATAATGTATTTTGAGGCCAAAGCCCATTGAAGAAATATGTAAATATACATCAAAATGAAATCATCTGAAATATATGCTTTAATACCATAAAAAAAATCGACGAGCTTAAGTTACATCGAAGTTGTTAAAAAACAAAATACTTAAATCATGTAATGATCATTCACTTCCTCTCCCGTGACCCGTCTGCTTGTGTGCTTATGCAAGAGGTCACGTGAACAATAGTTATTTATATTCACCCTAGATGACAGAACGTTATGAATTATTATATACTGGAGTGGCTGTTTAAAAAGAGGCCATGGTACCTCACTTCCCCTGTGTATAACATATTTCATAAGTCTCCAAGAAAACCATTTACAGCCTAACAATGTATTTGTGCCTGAAAATCATGTATTACCTATCTTGCATAGCACTAGACATTCCGTATTGTCTACCTTATGTGTTAATGAATATCACATATTGCATTTTCTATGGAGACCTTTTATTTCATATCTTATAGTTGCCTATCTGCTTGTTTGTTAATTTCCGGTAGAAATTCTTTCCGAGGAACTTCAGCGATACAAGTCCTTTCTGGATTAAACCAGTTTATTCTTTCTTGATACAAACTTTTAGTACACAGTAATTTCACAATCACTACGTTTCTCGTCACATTAAATTAACTACTTTTAAAATACACGTTATAAATCACAGCGATTCACAATCTCGATAACAAAACACACACTAGCTCGAAACAGAATCGCAAATTACCCGAAACTCTCTTCATTCAATTCAATCCCGCAGGCTTCATCTGCCAGGCTTATATACTAAAAAAGAGGGCGTTCTGAATAAACTCGGTCTTCCCGATAATTCATGATCATTCGAGAAATTCATCACGTGTTACCAGCGTCACATGACTTCCACAGTCGTAACATTATGCATAATTAAAAACTCCTGTGCTGTAGCCTATATGCAACTTGGTATCATGTATTTTCTGATGAATAGTATACTTAAAATCATGTAGAATTTGTACTGCTTTATTAGGAACCGCCTACTTCTTATCCTCAGTGCAGTCTGATATGGGTCACGTAATTGGGGCTATGAACTCTCTTTCTCCTTGATTTACAATGAAACTAAGGAGTAATACGCTTATGTATCGAGGGGGAACCATTTACTTTTTTACTGTACTGCTAAGAGTGTGCCACTAGGGTGTTTAGATTATCTGTACTACGTGTCACGAGTGGGTACTTACTTCCCATCATATGGATGAGTTCAAAGATGTAGCAGCTACCGTGTGGGGCATCACGTTCCAATTTGCAATGACAAGTTAAAAACTGAATATTTTGTAGTTGCTCCGATGATAAGGAAGAATATTATGTATTCTGCATGTCATGTATTTTTTTCACCACCTTTAGCGATATAGGAATTTTTACTTAATTTTCTTATATGCAGGTTGTGGCATATGAACAATTGATCAAGAACAGTGTAAATTTCTCCATTCAAACGTGATTTTGTCTCTCGCCTTAGCTTTCTATTTTTCAGATTAAGTATCACTTCCTGTGCTGGTGAAAAGATAGTCACTTCCTTTCGTTGGTGCGGTAGATGACACTGGAATGTCTACGACTGCAAATGTTAAGTGAGAGTAATATGTCACGTGGCGAAGACCAGAAAAAAAATAATAAACCGATAGTTTCGTGCGAGAATGAAACCTAGTTTCCATGGTTTTTTGTATTTGAGTTTCATAGTGGCTAGTTCTGCAAAGATTAAACTTGAGGGATAAAAAAGTGAATATCTAGTCACTGATCCAGTAGAGGTGGTCGTCTATTTATCTACGCCAGTACAAGCTCTTGTCTTTTGTTGTTTCTAGTAAAGATTACGTTCACTGTCCTTAAAATGTGTCTAATCTCTTTGTTTCACACGCAATTTAGAAACTGTCGAGTTTGCAACTTCATGTAACACAGCAAATTTCCTTTTCGACACTACTTTTATTAGTGAATGTATCTCATACTTGTAGGGAAATCAGTTCAATAACATTTAAGATAACACATGCACATGAACGTGCAATAAAACAGAAGATAAATAAGCATTTCATTCATTAAAATATTTTGTCTTCTGTTTTTACAAATATTGACAAAAAAAGAACAAATAACTTTAAAATATTGTCTTTTTACTTCTGCAAGTGTAATTTCAGTCAAATTTAACAACTAATTTAGCAAAGTGCCCCAGACTACTTTATATTGTATGTTTGAAGCCACCATGTTTAAGAAAAAATATATTTGTATTTAAGCATTTAATCATACGTTCAGATATCGGTGTAGCGATTACAACCTGCTTCGTGATAGTTGCTACGCATCCTAACCTGCCCTATGTGTCTCTAAGATGTCCCATATGTCGCTATATGGAATATGTACATAATATTTATTGTCTTCCTTAGGTTCCACCTGTATGCACTACCTGTTCATATGTGTCATTAGATAGTTAGAATTTATTAAACGGTGTTACTAAAAAAGTACTTTGTGTTTTTGTTATTGAGTTGTTTACAATACTTTTATCGTATCGGTTTTTTCCAAGTACTCTTATCTTGAAGTGGCTGAATTCTACTACAGAATTGGTTCTGTTCTGCTTGTCACAAGAACTGGAAATAACACGTCGATAGGCACAGAGTAATTAATACGTGCAAGCAACAACATGCATTTAGTGGTTGAAGCTCGTGGCATTTTATATATATTGCAGAG